TTTTACTAATTTTATAGTAACATACCAATTTTGGCTTGATTAATACTCATCATGTATATTATTAGAACCATGTCTATAATATTTATAGGTGAATCATGCAATATTTTATGAATATGTTTTCTTCTACAACTCATTTTCAATCATTTATCTTCAAACTTTTCCCTAGTGGTTTAATTAGCTCTCAATATCTTTAAACATTAGCACTCTATTAATTCTGTCTATGTAAAGAAATGTTACCTGAAGCCTTTGATCAGCTCCACACAGGACTGTTGCCCATCCAGTCTGCTGCAGAGCTCTCATCCTGGGGATTGTCTTTATTTATTCCTTGTGCTGAATTATCTCTTTATTTGATATCATTATTTTTCCTTTTTCACCCCCTTGTTTTGCTAGACCATGTTCTTCAGTAGCCTCCTAAGAAAGTGTATTATTTGAATCCCTGCATATTTGAAAATCCTTTTATTATCTGATTTTCAGTTTGGCTATACAGAAATTCTTAGTTGGAAATAATTTTCTCTCAGAATTTTTAGTATTGATATTGAGTTATCCAATGCAATTCAAAAATTTTATTCTATTTTGATTTTGTGAAATATTTTTCTACCCTTTCTGGAAACTCATAGAATTGTTTCTTTGTCCCCAGTGTTCCAAAATTTCATGATGGACCTTGCTCTGGGTCCATTTTCATTCACTGAGAAGAATCCTCAGTGGGCCTTTTCCATATTACATTTGGAAACTTATTTCCTTTTTTTAAAAAAAGATTCTATTTAGTTATTTTTAGAGAGAAAGGAAGGGAGGGAGAAAGGGAGAGAAACATCTATCAGTTGCCTCTCACCAGCCCCCAACTGGGGACCTGGTCTGCAACCCAGGCTTGTGCCTGGACTGGGAATCCAGCTGGCAACCTTTCAGTTCATAGGCCAATGCTCAATCCACTGAGCCACACCAGCCAAGGCTATTTCAAGTTCTGTAAAGCATTTTTTATTCCTTTACTTTCTTCTGTTTCCTCTGTATTGTTTTCTAGAACTTTTTTTAAGTATATTTTATTGATTATGCTATTACAGTTGTCCCACTTATTCTGCCTTTGCCCAGCTCCGCCTGGTACCTCCCTTCCCTCAGCAATATCCCCCCCTTAATTCATGTCCTTGGGACATGCGTGTAAGTTCTTTGGCTTCTCCATTTCCTATGCTATTCTTAACAACCCCATCTGTTTTGTTCCTACAAATCATGCTTCTTAATCCCTACACCTTTCCCCCCATTTTCCCCCTTTCTCCCCTTCCCCCTCCCGGCTGATACCCTTCAAATGATCTCCGTATCTCTGATTCTGTTCCTGTTCTTGTTCTTTGCTTAGTTTGCTTTTTTTGTTTTGTTTTGTTTTTAGATTCAGTTGTTGATATTTGTGAGTTTGTTGCCTTCTGAGTGTTCATGGTTTTGATCTTCTTTTTCTTAAATAAGTCCCATTAACATTTTAGTAATAATGGCTTTGTAATGATGAACTTTAGTTTTATCTTGTCTGGGAAGCACTTTATCTGCCCTTCAATTCTAAATGATAGCTTTGCTGGATAGAGTAATCTAGGTTGTAGGTCCTTGCTTCCCATCACTTTGAATACTTCTTGCCAACCCCTTCTTGCCTGCAAACTTTCTTTTGAGAAATCAGCTGAGAGTCTTATGGGCACTCCTTTTTAGGTAACTCTGCTTTTCTCTTGCTGCTTTTAAAATTCTGTTTATCCTTTAACCTTTGGTATTTTAATTATGATGTGTCTTGGTGTGGTCCTCTTTGGAAATGGGTCCAATTCATTTGGGACTCTCTGTGTTTCCTGGACTTGTGTGTCTATTTCCTTTGCCAAATTAGGGACATTTTCTTTCATTATTTATTCAAATAAGTTTTCTTTTTTTCTTGAAATAAGTTTTCTTGAAAACTTCCAGTTGCTTTCTCTTTTCTCCTTCTGGCACCCGTATGATTCAGATGTTGGTACATTTAAAATTGCCCCAGAGGTTCCTAAACCTACCTTATTTTTTTTGAATTCTTGTTTCTTTCTGTTCTGGTTAAATGTTTATTTCTTCCTCATGTTCCAAATTGTTGATTTGAATCCTGGCTTCCTTCCCTTCACTGTTGGCTCCCTATGGATTTTTCTTTATTTCACTTAGTATAACCTTCATTTTTTTCTTAATGTTGTTGCTGTACTCAAGAAGTTCCAGTGTTTTTGAACTCTCCATCTGATAGATTGGCTATCTTTGTTTCTCTTGGCTCTTTTTCTGGGATTTTGTTTTGTTCTTTCATTTGGGCCATATTTCTTTGCCTCCTCATTTTGGGAGCCTCCCTATATTTGTTTCTGTGTATTAGGTAGAGCTGCTTTTACTCTCTGTCTTAGTAGCATGGACTGTGTAGAAAAGGCACCTGTAAATTGTGTAGAGCAGAGTGTTAGGTAATTGGCAAGGTGGGGCAAACTGCTTCACCATTTTGTGGCTCTGTGTGGCAGGAAGGCTTAAAGAGGAGGCAATGCCACTCCCTGGTTTCTGGAGGTTTGCCCAGCTCTCGCCACACTTCCCATATGCAACTGGTACCCTTCCAGCTGCTGCCCTGGTGGTGAAACCCAGAGTAGGTGGGTTTGTGTACATTCTAAATTCATGAAGGCCCTTTAAGCTGTGGAAATCTGGCAGTTTCTTTTGCCACCTCAAAACCCACTGTTTTTCACAGCCAGACGTAATGGGTATTTCTCTTTTGGGTGCTGGAACCCTGGGCTGTGCAGTCTGGCCTGGGGCTGGCCTCACTCGCTCCCAAAGTATTCCTCCCAATTTTTATCCACCATGTGGGAAATGTGGGACTGTCCATTCTGCCACCACGACCACCACCTCTCTGCACCACACCACCTCTCCGCCCGTCTTTGTGACTCCACCCCTCCTAGCAGTCTGGATGAATGTGGCTTTTTTAAATCCTTGGTTGCTGGGCTTCCATACAGCTTAACTTTCTGATAGTTCTGGGTGTTATTTGTTTTGAGATCTGGTTGTAAATCTTTCTATGGTTGCACAAGGAGGCAAAGCTGTGTCTACCTATGCTGTTTTCTAAAACTTTTTATTCATAGGTTGCCCTCATGGCCTGGTCCTCTAATTTTATAATATTTTATATATTTTTAATGATTTTCCATGTATTTTTCTGGAAGATTTTTCACCTACTTGCTGGATGATTTCCTCAGCTTAATAACCAGTGAATTTTTTTAAATCTGTTATACTTTTACCAAGAGTAAAAGTATACTTTTCCTCCCCAATTATTCCTTTTTTGTAGCATACTCTTCTTGGTTTATAAATGTAATCCCATCTAGTTTTCTTCTCTCTTCATAGTTGATGTGTTGATATAGGTTGTTTTCTCCAAATGCCTGGTGACCTTTGTGTGTTTGCTTGTATTTGCAAGTAAGACACTAAATGCTCTTACTAAGACTCTGTTTATGGATATGGCTTGTAAATGGTGGCCTTCAATAAAGGGTGACCTGACTAGGATGTCTTGCTGAGGACGCCCCAATATCAGTATCTTTAGTCTTTTCTCTATGGGTTGTCAGATTCCTCAGAAAGTAATTATTTTATATGATTCTGTTATCCTGTGTAGAGAGTGTAAGGCTGTTTGTTGTGGAGGGTAAAAAGGTTGAGGGAGACGAGCAGGTCTCAGCATTGACTGTGTGACTTTCATTTAATCCCCATGATTTTTATAGGATAGCCAACCACCAATGTGTGATTCCTCCATCCGTCCAGATACCCTCTGTTTTACCCTGTCTAGAAAATAAACCTCTAGTTTTCTGCCAGGATGGGTTGGGAAGTCACTTATTGTGTATGGGTGAGTGTTGCACATAATCAACTTCTTAAACATTCTTTCAACCAGTCTTCCTGTTTTAGCCACATCTCCATCCCCCTTCCAAAGGTATCATTTCCTGAACTTTTTACAATTACTACGTTGTACACCAGGTGTTTCTCAGGTTTTCATACTGACAGCTTAGGAACTGTTAGGTTGGCTAATCAGTTATGAGGCACCTGTCTACTTTTTTAGCTTCTAAAGTGTTGTTATCAACCCTTCTCCAATTCTCTTTCTCCCTATACTCATTGCTATTATTTAAATATAGCAATGAGAGTGGAGGTTAAATGTGTTCAGCCTACTCTCTTTTCCCTAAATTTCAAAGTAACTAGTTTTTAACAGTTAAGAGGCTATATTAATGTTTTTTAATTCATGCTACCCACTTTAAATTTGTTTTATTTGATTCATCTCATATTGATTTCTTACTCTTACTGGGTAACTTGGCCTCATGGTAACTAAGAAAAGCCTATTCAATCTGCACCTTTTTGATTTTTCCTTTTCTACCCTACAGTTTCATTGTGTCTCCTCATTGTCTCAGACCTTCCTTCTATACTCCTTATGTCATCACTACTCTATAGCCTCTTCTGTGACTTTCTCCATCCTGGAGACAAACTAAACCTCCTCATTTTTCATTTCTTCTGAAAATGCCCTGTTTGTAAGTCTACTTAAATTTTTTAGCTTAAAAAAATCAATAACCAACTTTTCTTAATCATTAAGCTTTAGTCCTAGCTTTCTTATTCTTCTTTAATCTTCCCTTTTTATAAAGTAAAAATGCTATTCATCTCATTTTTTACCTTTCATTTTCTCCTTAACTCTATTTGACTTTGTCTTATATGTGAGCTTTTTTGAAAATTACCTACTAAACAAAACCACCAACCTCTTCTTGATCATAGTCTACTTGAGTACCTACTTTCCACTGAAACTGTTTTCTTGTATTTTTTTTCTAATTCTTGTATTGTTCTTGTTTTCTCATTTTTTCCTTTTTCTCCCTTTTCTCCCACTATTTTATGTGAGCTTCTACTTCCTTAGGCTACTTAGAAAACAAAGCAGTTAAAAATTCATAAAAACTTATTGATGTTTGAGCTTTCCTTGATTTATTAAAAGAAAGTAAAATGATATTTAATAAACACTTTTATGATATTAATAAGTTTTAACTTTTAATATTTAGGCTGGTGCTGTAAAGGATTACATTAAGATGATGCTTCAAAATGATTCACTTAAATTTCTGGTTTTTGCTCACCATGTAATTATGCTCCAGGCTTGCACAGAAGCAGTCATAGAAAACAAGGTATGTCACCACTTGCCTATAAATTACTTATAGGATATACATTTTTAATATACCAAACATCAATTGTCTTATAATTACTTTTTTGCTTGCTTTTCATAGTGACATATAAATTATTAGATATTTTTCTTGAAAATTATACTGATATTATATTAATATTGTGTTCATGGTATCCTATTAAAGTTTGCCTTTCATACCAGTCTTAAAATCTTTCACTGATCAAATGATCAGAATTGATTAAAATTTACTGCCTTGATAGGAATGATGTGAATTTGGTTTTTGTTCATGGATATACCATTTGAGATTTGTATAGGCAGTTAAAAGTTAAATTTTTTTGTTTACCCAAAAGGCACCCCTGGAACGTGAGTGATGTCAAGGGGAAAGGAAGAATGAATTTAACTGATTTTTGTGCCCAGCTGTAGCCCTATGTTTTAAACTCTTTAGAATAGGGTTATTAAGATTTAGTGTAAGTGAATTTATAACATATCACCCAGGAAATCTCTCTGGTAAGCTCCAACAAGCCTGCTGGCCTTCCTGCATTTTCTTAGGTCAACTTGTTTCCCAACAGCTGTGTCAATGGTAGCATCTTCCAGAAGAAATTTCCTGACAAACTGTGTGAGCTTAATATGCATGTTAAGTTACTCTTGATGGTGTAGGTAGTTTTTGTTTTTTTTTTTTTAAATGGAAGAATAAATCCTTTTTTTATTACTTTATACAGTATAGATTTTTCAAGCACTAGCTAATAGGTTCATTGACATTACCAAAAACGTAATACTAGTGTTTCCTTTATTGAAAGATTTATGATAATATAATAAAGTACTATACATTGAAATGTACTTTCTCACTAATTATCTTATAGTGTCTGTAAAACACCTTTTGAGGAAGAGTTGGTCATAATTATTAGATGATTGGACAATAATATTAGATCCATAATATTTTCTTATTCTGATTCTAGTATACCTTAGAACCATTGGAATCTATTCCAAGAGTAACATTCTATCTCTTTCTCACTTCTGCTTTACTGATATATTTAGAATACCATTTAATATCACTAAGAGTTAAAAATGTTAGGTAGTCACAACAATGTTGGAAGTGAATTTCTCTCCAACACTCTAGAGTCTGACAATGTGTTTTCTTTAGAAAGACCTTCAGAAAATGTTATAATCTCCTTTAATGGATATTAAATGGATTACTGGCCAATATATATCTGTTTTGTGAAGACAGAGGAAGTTAATAAGGGACATTTTATTTAAAGATTAACTTGACTGTCTTCTTATATAAGTGAATATTTCTGTCTTCAACAATTTAAGACTATATTTTCCATAAAAGGACATAAATAAATGAGATTATTTAAATTCAGGGCTTATACTTGTTTTACAAAGTTGAATAATAAGATCTTTTCAGCTACTCTAACACACAATGATTGCTCCGTTTTCTCAACCCAAATCACTCTTAAAAGACAGCACTTTTCAGTTTAGTACTTAATTGTTTCCCTACTTTTTAAAAACGTGGGTGGTTATCTTGGTCCCCATCTCAAGGGAGATTATCATAACACATTTTTCTTTTAAGTTTATTTTTAATGTGAAAAAAGAAAACACAAATTGTACATTAAAAAGATATTTTCCCAGTTAATATTGGGATACTTCAGAAATAGACAGACCACCCTTCATGAATTTCTAAAACATGGACAGAAACCTCAATTTCCTTTTGGACATGTCTAATCTTACTTTTACTTTGGAGTTAGTGATTCTGTAACTTGAAAGTTACTCTGATCCAGCATTAATTTGGCATATCAATTTACATAGAATTCTACTGGGACAACATTAGCTTAATTCAGTAATGATTAATGGAACTCCTGTTATGTACAAGACATTGAGCTTTGCAATGATGGTGTGAAGATGAATTAGACATATATCCTACCCTCAAGTGGCTTAAAAGATTAAAAAATATAAAATTGTTATCAGACGCTATTAAGAAATTTGGTTAAGATTCTTCTTATATAACATTTACCAACCTGTCATCTTCACCAGCTTCTGTTTTATTGTGTGAACATAAAAATAAGCTATAAAGTATATAAAATAAGATGGGTACATAGGGGCTTGTCCTAATTTTGCCGTTTCCTTTGTTAATGCCAGACTCGTTATGTGAGGATAGATGGAAGTGTTCCATCTTCAGAAAGAATACATCTGGTTAATCAGTTTCAAAAGGATCCTGAGACTCGTGTGGCTATCTTAAGCATTCAGGCTGCTGGTCAGGTAAGAAATTTCAGGTCTCAAATTGATAATAAAATGCCATTGAGGTAATAAAAAAGCTATTAACCATAATTATAACTTTATATCTGATATCTGGTATAATCAATATTCATTTTGTTTTGAGAATGCTAGAAAGTATAATAGCAGGAAACCTCAACACCTCTGACTGAAATCTTCCTACATTTTCAAGGAAAGAATTTCCTAGAAGAATATAGTTCATTTGACTCTAATACTTTTTCATGACTGTTTTTCCTTCCTTTGAATTTGCTTAGAATTCTCCCATCCCTTTCTTATAGCACTTACTTTACTTGGCTACCTTCATCAGAGTCTGTGAGGAAAGGTGACCTGAGGAATGAGAACTTTTTTGTCTGAGAATTCTTTATGGAGTGCCCCTGGTTTGTCCCTTAGCATTACATTTGGCTGCAAGTAAACAAAAATCCAAATTAAGATGGACTTAAGTACGTAGGGTTTTATTCTTTCATGTAGATAGTCCAAGTCTAGTGCAGTGGTTCCAAAAAGCCCTTAGGACTTAGGTTCCTTCTGGTTCTCTGCTTCTCCACTCTTAGTAGGTATCTTTTTTCGAAGAGGGCTGCTAGAGTTCCTCCAGCATGTCTGCAATACAGACAACTGGCTGGAGAAAGGCATGCGATATTTCACTGACCTGCAGTTAGTATAATGGCCACAACTAATTTTAAGGCAAGCTGGGAAAAGTGGTCTTTATCCAGGGAGCGATGCTAAAAATTAGGTGTTACATTGCAAAGGAATAAGAGTAGATACTAGGGAAGACAATAATAATCTTTGCCACACTGTGGAAGAGGGAATCATTCTGGACTTTTTTCCTACTAATATTCTGAAATATTTTGATGTAAATGTCTAAGCCAGAATATTTAACATGGGGAAAAATAATTGAACATGTTACTGTGCATCCATCCTGTTATATGCCATATCTGGCATCTTCTGTGGACTCGAATATGAACCAGAGCCAAAGGTCTGCAGATTGATGTGTATAAAATTGTATATACAGAAAAACTCCATGAGGATTTACAAACAAACACATACATACAATTTTGCTTGGTTCTAGAACTCACTAGGAATTCTAACCAAAAGGAGTGTTGTCTCAACATTTCCTTCATGTTGGATTAAACTTCCAGTAATCTGAGTTTTATACCTGTTAGAATATTCCAGACATATAACATATTATCAAAAAGAGCATAAAATTAGAAATGGAGTACTCATAATATGGGAGAAGAAATGTAGGAGGAGCCAGGCAAGAGAATTTAAGAGTGGCCTGATTAAAGACTTTGAAATTAAAATTACACAGGGCACTCACATGTTATTCAGAGCTATATTCCTAGAGACCTTGTATGTTTCAAAATTCATATATTTGAATACTAGTATTTTCATAGGAATAAAGGAAAGTAGAAATAGCTTTGTTGTTGAGGCATGTGAATCTTCCATTGTAGGTCAGTAGTATCTTGGAGTTATGTTGATCTTGCCAGCATATTTTCTCTTAATCCTTATGTGGTTATGGGAGGCTTTTTATATGCTTACAGGTGTCTTTCTTTAAATAGTTCTTATTTTTCAACATTATCACTAATATTTTGTGGCATTTCTTATCCTAAGTAGCAGAACAGTTTAGCATGGTGGTTCTTTCTATTACTTCTAACTTCTGTTCCAAAGTGATTGACCATCAGTGAATTTTCAGCTCGAATGCCACTGTTTAATGAATGCTGGTATGACGTGTTTTGTGATATAAACCATCTAAGTTAAAATAACATACAAAAAAACAGCATAGCACTCACAAAAGTCACTGAGTCAAAATTTCCAGTGTATGTGAACAACAGCTTGGATTAGTTGATGCTCTCAAAAGATGGTAGGTATTCCTTTCGACCACCTTTGTGTGGCAATAAGCATGAGCATGGTTCATATTTTACTCAGCCCGCCAGCTTTAACATCATGCATTTTTTACTCAATTTTAGTTTGAGGAGATTTTCTTATTTCATATAAAATAAGACTTAGTTAATAGTTTTAATGTTGCACTTTTTAAAACTGATGTAAAATGCAATTGTGCTATATGTATTGAGATACAAGCCAGTAAACTTCAGGGCCTTTGGAATGTAACATAAGAAATTTCATAGGAAGGGAACAGTATGACTGAAGACATGATTTCCTTGCTTTATAGAATAGCAATATGAATTAAATGAATAGAAGTTGTCATTGCTCTCTGCCTAGTTGCTATGGATACCATGTGTTACAAATTATATTCTCATTTATAATGTATTATATTAGATTTTCCAGTGGTAATGTGAATCCAGTCTTCATCAGAGGATAAAGTGATTTTGTGTATAATATCCATCAAACTGACTTTTGAAATACATTTTAAATGTTTGTTTTGTAATCCACCTGACTATCTTGCAGTAAGCAGTTTTCATCTGTCTTTCATGAATTAAATTTTCTTAATTTGGCTTACTATGAAAGACTGATTTGTTTTTAAGTCCTTTGGCATCCTCTTGTCTATTTAATGTGTTCAGAAAGACTACTATACATGGCTCTATGTTATATTCTCAGTTTATTTACATCTCAATTTCTTCACTTTATTTTGCTAAGGGTTTGACATTTACTGCTGCAACTCATGTTGTATTTGCTGAGTTGTACTGGGACCCTGGACATTTAAAGCAAGCAGAAGACCGTGCTCACCGAATTGGACAGTGCAGTTCTGTGAATATTCACTACCTCATTGCAAATGGGACTCTAGACACCCTTATGTGGGGAATGTTGAATCGCAAGGTAAGGCTTGACTTTAAACCATGTTACCAACTTACTCTTATTATCCATAGTCTACATGAGTCAAAAGGCTGAGTTGTAGTGTTTTCGGGCAACGGATACTTAAGTACACTAAGATACCAATGTTAATAGAGACCAAGTTCAGAAAAGGCTTCAGTTGGTAGTAGTGTACCTGGTATCCCCTGTAATAAGAGAGGGTCATAAATTTGCATGTATTCCTACTGTCTTTCAAGCCCTTTTTCTATCATTTTAGAGGCTAGAGGAGTTAGCTAGCAAGGAACCATAATGCTTTCAAGCACCAAGTCTTTTTCATTAAGTAAAAACAAACCCTTTCTCAGAAGGCTTCTTGAATTCAGAACTAATATTGGAGAGAGGACCCCCTGTACCTGGACTCTAGAAGAGGTAGGAGGGACATGGCTTGCTCTGTGCCCTGAGTCAGCTCTTCTCTGAGCCTGAGGGATGTTTATAGAAAGGATTTGAGTAAGGATTAGAGGATAGTTTTCAAGCACTGCATATAGATATTTAAAATGGCCAGCCATATGCAAGTTCAATTTCAAAGTTTATAAATATTAGAGTGAAAGTTTTTATGAGAAAAGCAAATAGGATAATTTCTTTAGTTAAGACCTCTTCCTCATGAGAATAGGAATCACTGACCTGGTAGTATGGTTATGATTATGAATAATTATATTACTACAGTCCATGATATGTTGAAATAGCATGATTTTCTTTAATGGATTGCTTGTGATTCAAATGCAAAATGAAGTTATTGCTTAGAAAATATCAGCTGTGAGGTGAATGTCATCAAATCCATATGCTTTTCCATCCTATAGGCTCAGGTTACTGGGAGCACATTGAATGGTAGGAAGGAACAACTTCAGGCTGAGGAAGGTGATAAGCAAAAATGGGATTTCCTGCAGTTTGCTAAGACTTGGACACCAAATGAAAGTTCTGAAGAGCTCAGGAATGAAATTTTGTTCACTCACGTAAGGAGATTATATAACTTACTCTTTTTTATTTTTTAAATATCCTGAAGTTATAACTTTGTTATACATTATTTTAAATAACAATCCTCAATTACTCATGCTGAAAACCTTTTAGAAACAAAAGATAACATTGATGGAAGTAGACTGCATAAGTGGCTTGTATCTTCCAACAGTTACATATCAGTGCCTCACTGTTAGCTCCTTTAAAAAAATAAGCTAAATAGAAACCAACCCCAGAAAAAAACATAGGAGGCTATCTTTATGACCCTGAGGGTAGGGAAAGGTATATTAAATTTGCCACAAAATTTAACATAAATAAGTTAGAAATCAAGTAAAGATATTTACATTACGATGTCCAAAGTATATAAAGAATTTATGCAATTCAATTAATACAACACAATTAGTAGAGAATGTGAGCATCAGAGAAGATCTCAGTAGCTAATAAACATGAAAAGCAGCTCTGCCTCACTACAACAGTGTTTTTTTCTAATTCCATCATTGCTTCTATATTTATTACCTGGCATTTTTCTGTAAAAGGGGCTTCTTATTAAAAAAAAAAATTACTAAACTTGGAAATTCTGTTACTGTTATTTAATGTGTTATAATCCTTCACTTTAAAAAAAATTTTTGACTATTGAAAACTTCTTTTTTCAAAAAAATAAGTTTCTATAAATCTCTGAGTGCCTTTTGCTTTCTGACAAACAATATATTCCAGATTCACCATGTATTTTCTCTACCCCATATCTAGAACTGGACATTTAAGAACCCCTCACTGTCTTTACTGGCAAATGGAATGCAGAAATTATGATTTTTTACTGCTCTGAGATGTCATTGCTTCTGGAATGTTTTCAATATACAGAGTTATTTGTATAAAAATACAGTTTTGGATAGATAGTAAATATGTATGTATGTATGTATATGTATGTCTGTATATATGTATGCATTATTAAGTTATAAGTTCATACAAATACCTCCAGTTCAAATCCAGCACCACCACACTCTTCTCCACATTCTCCATATATCTAATACAAATATAAATATTTATATTTAACTATCCAAAGGTGAGAACACTGGTTCCTGATACCGTCAACATATTCACTCATTTGTTCTACCCTTACATACATATAAATACTTTTTAAATTACTACACTAATACCACTACCAACAGCTAACTAAAATTCAAGATTTCTTAGAAGTTTTAATGTGTTCTACTAAAAGTATATAGTCATCGTATTCTGTCCAAACATTACTTGAATTTTTTTTTCTTTATGGCTATCTTATCAATTTGATAGGCATTTAGGCTCATTTGTTTCTGTGTGGTTTTAAGGATTTACATTTTTTAATATTTAAAACAAATAGTTCAAAAGTCAAAGCTATATTAAAAAATGCATTCAGAGAAGTCTGACTGGCATCCCTATTTTTGTTTCTATGTATCCCCTGTAAGTAGCCATTTTTATTAGTTTCTGGCTTAACTTTTCCTAGATTTTCTTTTCTGCAAAAGTGAACAAATGTGTATGTGTGTGTGTTCAGTAAAATAAATTAAAACAAAATGAAGTACCACTTCATACCCACAGGATAGGCAAAAATGAAAACATTTCACATATAAAGTTTTCAGGAGCATTTCACATACTAAACTCTCATACAATGCTTGGTGAGAGTATCAATTATTGTAAATACTTGGGAGAGCAATTAGGCAATATCTGGTAAAGTTGGAAATGACCTTCAACCAAACAATTTCATTGCTAGAAATATAGTCTCACACATGTATATAAGGATACATATACAAGTATATTTATTGAATCACTTTTGTAATGCAAAAAAAATGGAAGCAATGAGAACACCCATCAGTAGGAGTATGGCTATGTAAATTGTCATAAGATACTATTTAGAAGTTAACATGAATGATTTAGATTTGTACATATGACCAGATTTTGAAAACTATGCCATCTTAACATGCTTAGCACACATATGCACACACACACTTGCACTTAAATATTATGTATTTATGAATACATATATATGTAATAAAACATATAAACATAAATTGGAAGAATACATACCAAATTTATAAAATTGGTTGCCTCGGAGAGGAAGAGAATGGGTCTAGGGAAGAGTAAAAATGTCATAGCAACTTCATCAGAAATATTTTATTTATAAAAAGGATTAGAAGTAAATATTACAATGTTAGTATTTATAGATTGTGAATAGTGGGTATGTGGATGTTTGTTATATTCTCTGTACAGTAACAAGTGCTATTTGGAGAACATGTATTAACTGAATAAGAAATAATACATTAGACTATCTGCTTTCAAACTACCTTCTTTTTCCTAGCCATTTTGGGGTATTATGGTATGAGAGTTATGGGGAGTTCAATTTAATTTTTCAAAGAATTGCTCATGAATTATAGGAATAAAATTAAAGTCTATACATGTTTTCTCAATACAAAATTGAAAATTAATATAAAGTTTACTACCATACAAACATAATATTTTTATGTGTAATCTTACTAAACTTTTTATGTATCTTATTTGCAGGGCTAGTACTTTGTTCCTGGTATTCTAGAATGCCCTTTAGTCAAGTATTGCTAAAAAATATAGGATTGTTTCTAAGAATTTTTTAAATTTAAAACAGCTTTTAGTAGTATTTATTACATTATACTTTGGTCAGTTAAAAATCAGGTATTCTATATATTTAAAACATATATAACTCAAACTATAAAAATATAACCATTATTTGTACTTGTTTTTTCTCTAAAATTCCCTAACTATTGAACAATGTTTGAAAGTTCATTTTTAAGACAAGTATTAAGAATCTGAAATCTGAAACACACCTTCCCACATATATAAAAGTTTATTTTTATGTCTATCTGAAGAGAAATATATATATCTTTGTATAAAGTTAAAGATATCCCCCAATCACCCTGACCAAATCTTACTTCCGTGAATTAGGTGTTTACCTTAATAGTTTACTGTTATTTTGCACAAATTTTCCAATGCATGGCTTTATGCACACATGGTTTTACAGAGTTCTACCTCCTTATCTGCAGTTTTGCTTTCCACTGTTTCAGTTATCCATGAGTCAAGAGTGGTCCAAAAACATTAAATGAAAAGTTCCAAAAGTAAACAATTCATAAGTGTTAAATTGTGCCACCATTCTGAGTAGTGAGATGAAATCTCACACCATCCAGCTCCCTTCTACCCATAATGTGAATCGTCTCCCTTTCTCTAGCATCTCCACGGCGGGGGGGCCGGGGGGGGGCGTGTAGGGGTGTGTGTGTATGTGTGTGCACATGTGCGCCCCTTCCATTAGTCACTTAACTGTCTGGATTATCAGATCAGCTGTCCCAGTATCTAAGTGCTTGTATTCAAGTCATCCTTATTTTACATAATAATGTCCCCAAAGCACAAGAGTAGTGATGCTGGCAATTCAGATATGTCAAAGAGGCACTAGACAGTGCTTCCTTTATGTGAAAGGGTATGTATAGAAAAAAAACATAGTGTATATAGGGTTTGGTACTTCCTTGGTTTTAGGCATCCACTGGGGATCTTGGGATGTATGTTCTTTGGATAAGGAAGGGTGACTATAAATTGAAATATTACAATATAGAGAACATTTGTTTTGCTTTGGATTTGTTTGTTTTTGGCCAGCATGTGAAAGGAGCTTTGAATGACTTTAGATGGGAATGCCACATACCACTTTCTCTTTACATTTTCCAGCTTCATGCATTTTAAGAAATATTCAATTTGTTGAAAGGTCCTAAAAATGATAGTTTACTGAAAAACATATTTTTCTTCTGAATGTTGCCAAAATCAGCATTTCCCATGGGAATTTTTCTATTTATACTGATTTCTTTCTGATTGTTTTTAAAATCTTTTAATTTTTTTCCTACATTTAGCATTTTAGGCTATTTCCTACATTTAGCATTTTAGGCTATTTATAATTTAATTAAACTTTGCCAAATTAACCAAATGGTCCAATTGTCATTTTTTAAAAAACTTGTTCAAATAAAAATTTATTTTTTATAAACAGTTGATCTAAAAACCATTCTAATTAGATGACTTTTAACAGCTTGTGACTATTTCTGTAGTATCATCATTCTAAGTAATGTTCATTTTATCTCTGCACCATTGCTCTGCTGCTGCAGCTGGAGGCTAGAGCTGGGGCAAAGAAGAGGGACCTTTCACTGCTGGAAGAACAGACTGTCTCTTAGTCAGCCCATGACTCAGCTCAGGCCAGCAGCCCTAGAGAAAGTGAGACTGAGAGGTTCAAAGGGGAGACCACGGAGCAGAGAGTGAGCCTGAAGGGCGAAGAGAGGATAAACTGAGGGCACGAAGACAGTCAGGAGGCTTAAGTACCCTGGATACCTAGCTCCCCGTAGTCTTCTTACTCCTGCCAGCTCATCACATTCAAAAACTGTGAAGTACATAAGTGATTTTTAGGAAACCAACAAATTTGGTCATTTTGGCAAATTGGTCTTCAGTGAATTAACCTAGGGCCTAATAGTAGTATGATAATGGATCCTGGTGACAAGGAGGCCTGTGGTGAGGGAAAGAGGAGGAGGAAAATGACAGAAGTTTTTGTGGATAAAATTTTTCTGCTCTGGCTGGTGTGGCTCAATTGGTTGGAGAGTCATCCTGTACATTAGAAGGTTGTGGGTTCAATTCCTGGTCAGGACACACACCTAGGTTGTGGGTTCAATCCCTGGTTGGGGCACTTACGGAGGGCAACTGATCGATGTTTCTCCCTCACGTCAATGTTTCTCCCTCACGTCAATGTTTCTCTTGTGCTCTCTCTCCCTTCCTCTCTCTAAAAATCAATGGACATATTCTCGGGTGAGGATTAAAAAAATTCTATTGAATTTGATATTTCCTGCCTTCTTTCTCCCCTGGTGTTCAGTGTCCTTCAGAATGTTATTACCTTTATCTCTCCCCTCTCTTAATCAGAATCCTCTTTCTGTCACATAATTCAGCTATTAGGATAAAAATAATGTGTGGAACCGGG